AGGGAGGGGACCCTGGCATCACAAAGAAGTAGAAGTAAGGCCACCTCTTTGTGATGCCGTGGCCTCCACCTCCATCCACTTGGGTACCTCAGTATGGTGACCACTTTCTTCCTGAGTTTGATATCAAAATACTAAATGTTTCCAGATATCAAGATTTTGGGATAAATCCTTTATCTTAAAGCTGAAATGCACAAGGCCAGAGCAATAGCCACATTCAAATGCCCCCCACAATTTGCTCTGTTATCACTTTTCTTAGGTTCATCCCTCTCTCCTAGACTCCATCAGAGAGTCACTTCAATATTATCCTTTCACATAATAGGAAATCCTAGCCTCACACTCACCTGGAATTAACATTGAAAGAAGTGGCCTTTCAAATGTGTATCCCTGTGAGGGGAACCACATAAGCATGCAGCATGAGGGCAGAGTGTGCCGAGGCAGAGGCTCAAATAGGTCTCTTTAGTCTTAACTGACCTGATAGGAATCATCTAAGAGCTTCTCATAAATTTGCCTCTCTGGAGATTCTGACTCAGGGCCCAGGAATGTATAGTTTCAAACCCTCCCCAAGTGTTTCTGATGTAGAACAAGGTAAGGAAACCACCATGAGATGCGTGGAAGTCCCACCGTCTACCACAGTCTTGCACACTGTTTTGAAAACAAGCACCATCTGAGACAAGTTGAGGGCTTTTAGCTTCCATCCAAAGCACCCTCCACAGACCTGTAGTCCATCTCTGTCACTCACAAGGGCATCGCAAAATCTCTGACTTCTTAGGTAATGGACTTCCAAATTAAGCACAGCACAGGCCCAGTGAAAGAACCTTAGGGCAGCACATGTAGCTTGTGTACCTACTGGGTGGTAGGCACTGTTCTCGATGCTGGGGATACAGTGCACAAGACTGACGAGGTACTCAACCTCACAGAGGTTATATTCCAATGGGAAGAATCAAGGAAAAAACAAACATGCAAATAAATCAACTGGATAATTCCTGATATAATAAGTACAGTGATGAAAGTAAAACAAGGTAATGAGATGAAGAATGATTTTGGAGAGAGGTAGCCCCTTTATATAGGGTGGTCAAGAAAGACCTTGCGCATGTGGCATGTAGCTGAGACGTAATGGAAAGGAGTCAGCCTATGAAATCCAAGGAAGAGAGGAACTTGGCTTATTTGAGACAGGGAAGACTGGCATCAGTGAACGAGAAGGGGGATGGGATGGTGACTAACATGGCTTTATTTTAACTAATCTTCTTAAATCTCTTAACAAAATGTCTCCATTTTTCAGGTATATTTTATTTGAGTTACTACTTTCTTTCTTTGGGCTTGGAATTTTTTTTCTAATTTTGTGTGCAAGTTGTTTTCCTTTGCTGAACATTATCATAAGTGGTCCTTACTGTGAAAGCATGATTTGAATTACGTGGCTGTTCTAAGGTCCAGTCAGTGATAATGTGGCCATCACACCAGTAACTGGATTTCAGGGTATTTTGTTTTCCACACCGAGTTTACAGCAATTGCTTTCTGCTATTTTACATCATCAAGCCAAGATCCAATAATTGTACTGATCTTGTAAATCATTGAGATTATCTCTTATCATAAAGTTATTATAGGCCAGAAAGAACAGCTTACTTTTCAGTTTTTATAAAATTGCATTCATGATGATGTACTTCTATACTCCAGCGAAAGAAAAGGTATCCTTAATGCTTGCGTTATCTGGAACCCGTTTATTTATAAAATTTTTAAATTATGGCTGCCAGATTATGCTACAGTTGTATGTCACTTGCTAAATCACTTAATTCCTAATCCACAGTCCACAACTTGAATTAATGTCTTGGTATTTATATCATTGACATGAAGAAATAAAAAATAATTATCCTTGAATTTTCAGCCATGGCCAGAAATTGAAAAGGAAGGATCAAAAAGGAAAGAGAAGATAGGAGAGGGAGGCAAAGGTGAAGAAGATGCTCCAGAATGCCTACCACTCCTCATTCCCCCAGCCCCAAGCACCAGAATCCCATTCTCTCTGGGACCTTGATATTTCAGAAACAACTATTTTGAAACGCCACTTTGATATAAAATTTATCAAGTTCATATCAGGTTCCAGGAACTCTTCTAAGTCTGCTACAATATTAACACATTTAATTCTGACAATAGCCCAATAAGGTAAGGTACCAATATCACCCCATTTATTTATAAGTACATTGAGGCTCAGAGAAGTTGAGTAACTTACCCAAAGTCACTCAGATAGTAAGTAGAACAGCAGGGACTGGAGCCTGACTGTCTGGCTCCAGACCCCAGGCCATTGTGTGCTACCCCACACTGCCTCTTATGGCTTTGATACAACCATTTTGACTTGGGAACCTTTTAATAATAGCCTAAAATATGATTATTAAACTTGTCACTATAATAAAAATTCCAAATAATGTTTGAAGCCTTGATTCTACCCCATCACTTGGCTTTATGTTTTACCTGAGGCTTACACCATACTTGACCCTTGTGCCTCCGAGAGGATCCATGAGAGAGAGGGCCAGTGGCCTGACACTGGCTATAGGAAGTGTCATGGGCACAGGCATTCACCTTTCACAGGGCTGCGTCGGATCAGTTGTAACACACACCCTGCTTCATACTTTCTTTTTTTGAAGCTCCTTCCTTCAACTTCTGAACTCAGTGGAGGGCATGTAAAGGCATGGTTTCTGGCCAAATCTTTGTTTGTAATTTCTGGTTTGAAACATACACATGACAGGTATAAAAATTTCTACAACTTGAGACCAACTGGTGCTTGTGATAAGTAATCCACACCAACTGTAATTTCAAAGGGTAAATCAGTAGAAGATGAATGATCTTATTACTTGTTAACTAATAAGCTTTATCCTTGCCTCTTTAAAAATTTGGTAATACAAGATGTGCTAATTCAGTCTTTTAAATGGATAATTGTTTATTATTATTATTACCTCATTTAAGCTTTAAATTGTTTTATTATTTGTGTCAGTTTTCACAGCTCTACATATATAATGCATGTCTCCTCTAAAGTGGGTCCTGGCGTCTGTGCCCAGCAACATTTGACCCGTGACACTCGATGCTCTTTCTTTCTTTCCCTTTGGTTAAATATTGTGTTATTACAAGAAAGTACATGATATGTTTGTCACGAACCAAATTCCTCACTGTAGTTCAAGATAAGAACTGGTTTGCAAAATACTCAACTCTGATAAAAAATTATTTATAAACAATTTCCTAATGTGATATTTCAAAAATGAAAGAATATGTTTCTGATATTTCTACAGTGTGCCTCTTGCTCATGGAGAGAAGCAGCTATGTGATGAAAGGAATGCACTAGCAATTATAGCTCCTTGTAATTTACGTCTTTTGATAGGCTCTGAGATTTTCAAGCGCAGACATTTTAAAATAGAGGCCACCTATACCTGTTTCAGCCGTGTAGTGCTGTGAGTCCCTATCAGCTCTTCCGTGATGGTAAAAATGGGAATTTATATGGCATTGTTATTCATCCATTGTTTCACAATTGTCTTATCAATGAACTCCTTTGACTCATCCTTCTATCAACTTTCATCGGATAAAGGAATGAATTTAAAACATTTCAGTAACTTGCTTGTGATTGCAGCATAGAATGTGTTAAGATAACATACTTTGGCCTCCTGATTTCCTGTTCACTGATGCATTCATTCTGTGAACCTTAGTATTCAAGAAACAGCCACAGCAGGTTCATCATTCAAGTATAAAAGTATTTTAAAATATTAAATATATATACATATATAAAACATATAAAATATCAAAGATATAATATGGTGGTTGACAGCAAAAGCTTTGAAATAGGCAAATCTGAACTTAAATCCTGTATCATCCATTTTTAACAGTAACCTTGCCTAGCCAGATAACTTCTCTTAGCTACACTATTTCCTCATCTGTATAATGGAGGAAGTATTTATTTTTTTAGGGCTTTGAAAGTAGTAAATTAAGTAATAAGTACTGAGTTAGTGGTTTTTAAAAACATTGAGTACATAGCTCTTTCAAGAATTTTGGCTTAAAAGAGAAGGTGAGAAAGTGAAAGAATATATCAATTACCAGTGATTTTTTTGTATTATGCTTTACAGCATTTTTTTTTTTATTTCACATTTTTTTTTGTTGTAACATCTAATATTAGAGTACATCTTATAAAAATGCTTTTTTAGGGGCCGTCCCGGTTAAGTGCACTCGATCCCCTGTGGCGGCCCGGGGTTCGCAGTTTCGGATCCCAGGCGCACACTAACTCACCACTTGTCAAGTGTGGTGGCGTCCCATATACAGTGGAGGAAGATGGGCACGGATGTTAGCCCAGGGCCAATCTTCCTCAGCAAAAGGAGGAGGATTGTCATCGGATGTTAGCTCAGGGCTAGTCTTCCTCACCAAAAAAAAAAAAAAAAAAGCTTTTTTATAATTTAAATTTAATTGAAGTTTTTTTCTTTGTTAATGATGCATAAAATAATGATGTGTCTTATAATTGATGGCATTTTAGGCTCAACGAAACACAGTTTTTATGATACGTATCTACATTTCTTTTTCTTCAGGAGCAATAACGTAGTAATTGTACATTCAGACCTCTGTTGTATATGGATTGTGCCGGGTTCCTGACCCTCTCTTTGCCTCATCTCTTATCTGCAGAAGGAAACATCTTTCCCACACATTGTTAGTTTTAAATTAGAAAATGTGTATAAATTAAATTCCTTAGCACAGTGTCTGGTGGAGAATGGTTAAATGCACAACAATAATAGGCATTACTGTTATTATTATCTTTATTTTTCTGGTTAATCTGTGAATTAGGAGACCTGGATGCTAGAACCAGAGCTGCCACTAATTAACTTTGGAATCTCTGTCTCACTTCCCTGTTTTGCAAAAGAATATTTTAGCTAAGATGACCTCAGAATTCCTTCTCGCTCAAAAATGTTATAATTTTATTATCAAATTCAGAGTCTTAACATAGTATAACCATAAAATGAATTTTTCCTTGTTTCTTTCAGTTTGTGGCGACATCCATGGACAATTCTTTGACTTGATGAAGCTCTTTGAAGTGGGGGGCTCTCCTGCCAACACTCGCTACCTCTTCTTAGGGGACTATGTTGACAGAGGGTACTTCAGTATTGAAGTAAGTCCACATTGTTTCTTCTTAGCTGCGCAGTAATGGATCAACAATATCTTAGTAAAATAAAAGTGGTAAATGTTATTGCCTTAAGGAAATATCTAGTCTCTAACAATAAACTTTAATACACTTAATTCTTGGGGTATTACATAGCCTTTTTTTAGTTGATTCCCATATGCTTTTTAATGCATAGAGATGCCAAGGACATGGCTAATATGATGATTTTGCCTTTTGTACCTTTTATATATCTGCAACTTTGCAAAAATTACATCGTATTTTACATTAGACAATTCTGTTTCCTGTTGAGAGAACTAATCAAAAGTGATTAAATAAGCAGGAATGTGTTTGCATGGCTGTGCCTTATAATTATGAGAGTGTAAGTTATCTTTGTAAACTGAGTCAAGTGCGTGTGTGTCTGTGTCTGCATTTTGTATGTGTGAGTATGTGTGAGCACACTTACAGATGCTGTATTTTGTCTTTGTTTGATACCTGTCAACTAACTAGGGTAATTTGTCAAGCTCATTAATTAAACAGCGTTTGAGTAGAGGTTCTTCCTCAGCGTCCCATCTTTGGCTGCTTCAGGTTAGTAGAAATTAACATTCAAAATGAAGGCAAGGACCTTGTTTTATTCATGTTTTTGTTCTTGCTGCTGCTTAACATGGTGTCTCATGCATAGAAAGGGCTCATTAAATATTTATTAAAAGAAATGGTTTGAAATAAGAATAAGTTTTAAAGAATCAGAGCTTGTACTGTAAGAGCTGACATTATATGTGCTCTTGGGAAAAAAGCATTTAAAAAGGAAAACAATTAATTAAGAGAGAAATCAAATTTACAGAAGTCTCACACCAGCATCACATATTCATAGTAGTCATATAAAAGAGATTCTAGGTTTTTAAATTTTCATCATATTATTTTATTTACTATAGGAATATTTAATGTTGAGAACGTGTCCCTCTTACACGGCTTTTGTTTTTAAAACTATCATACCCACTCTAGTTTTTGGTTGTTCAGTCATTGACTATAAATACATAATATTTCCACCAATATATTAATCCTTTCTGCATTTAAGGATCACACCTTTCTTAATTATTCATGATGATGAGGGAGGGAGGGGTAATGTTGGTATATAAATCCAAAAGGAGAAGGTAAATTTTTAGTATTTCTTCCATTTGGTAAAAAGTTTACCGAGCACATAAGATGTATATGCGCTATGATTGGGACTATGGAGACTTTGAAGAAATATACATCCTTGCTTTCTAGAAACCTAAATCTGTGTAGAAAAATATAACTATGAAAAACTATATAGAATCAGAAGCCTGAATAGGTGGTCATTTAGGTTCAGTTATTTGAATTGAATATTAAAATCTCGTGATAAAGGAAGCACAGAAAATAGTTGCAACTGGAATGTGGGAAAGTGGGAGAATTTTGTGAACATACGTGGCTGAAGGAGACAGAATCGCAGAACGGTAAGATTTAGCTGGGAGAGAAGTTGAAGCGAGAAAAGTACAGAGGAAGAAATTAGTAAACCTCACTCCTGGGCTGACTGGACCAGCTTCGCAGGGAAGGGTGATCAAGGACAAAATTTGTAAGACGTTTGTATCACACTAGGGCTAGTATCTGCCGAGAGAAAGAGAGAAAACAAACCCCTACATAATGCTGGTTGAACAAGATAGAAGTTTGTTTCTCTCTGCAGTAAAAGCCCGCAGCTGGGCAGACCAGGGCCGGTGTGACCCAGCATGGCACCAGGGCCCAGGCTCTTTCTGCCCTATTGCTCTGATGTGCATGGCCTCGTTTCAGAGTCGACCTCATGACCCAAGATGGCTGCACGAGCTTCAGCCATCATGCCCCCACGCTACATTCAGCTAGAAGGAGAAGGAGAAAGGGAAGGGCTTGTCCTCTGATTGAAGGATGTTTCCCAGAAGTGGCACAGTGACTTCAACTTGCATCCCATGGGCCAGAATTTGTTGATCTGGCCATACGAGATTTCAGTGTGTAGCCAGATTTGAGAAAGACTGCAGGAGGCAGAAAACAGCAATGGGAGGTAGAATGTTTCTGCTACTTCCCTTAAATTGCAGTTGTGTGGAGTCTAAGTAAATATTTTTAAAAATTCTTTGAGTAACTACTCACTTCATCGTATTCGTGTAACACACGTAGCGTGCCTGTGAAAGTTTCTGAGGATGAGTGACATGGGTGTTCTACTTTCCTTGAAGCTCACGTTCTAAGCAAAGAAAGCCGAAGACTATCCTGTTGGGGTGATTATTTTTATCAGCCAAGTGATGAGTGCTACCTTGGAAATTTTTTCTTTAATAACATATTTGTGATTTTTAACAACTTTTAATTTGTCATCTTTTTAATCTAATCAAAGACAATAATGCTCTCTTATTAATTTAGTGATAAAGATAAAGCACTAAATTATGAGTTGCTTGTGTAACAATCAACACAGCTTGACTACTTTTTATCTCACCAACTCCATCTTTGGATAATATTTCTTAATCTTATTGGTCTTTATTTCCTTTGATTTTTTTACTCAAAGAGTTCAGGCTTCTGAATCTTTGGCCTCAAACCATTTGAAACTTCCTAAACTCTCCCTAGTTAGAACGTTTTAGAGCTCTGTTTTTTCAAAGTGAAGAAGTTGAGAAGCATAGTCATCACTCACTTGTTCCTCAGCAGATTTTATTTTAGTCCACAATTAATCTAGATATTTGAACTATGAAAGTTGAGATATTTTGTGTAATATGCACCTTCAAGCAAAGGATCAAAAAAATGAAACCAAGTGTTGTAACGTATCAAATGTAGGTATCATAGGACATTAAAAGTTCTGAGATTCACCGATCAGAGTCCCCATCTTTAAAACCCGCTCTTGAATTAAACTCCGAGAGTCTGAGGGTACAGCCCTAGGGACTCGCCACATGCATATAGAAATGACACAGATGCGATGCCCTCATATGTAAAAGTGATCCATTCTGATTCAGCTGTGACCTGTCAGGCCTTTGGGATGGCTCAGTGATACCGTCATCTTTAAAATAGAACAAACATTTGTATAAAATATACTTACTGAGAATACTTTAGGGCTTTTTATTATGGATTAAAGAAACTGACGTTGCATTCGTAAATGCTATTGTTTGCCTGGTATGAATGATCTCATTTATTCCTCACAGCTCTGCAAGGAACATGTAAATGTCTTCCTTTTATGCGTGTGGAAACCTTGGCTCAGAGAGAGTCACACACATAGGAAATAACAGTGCTGAGATTCAAAGTCTGTCCTCTTTCCACTACACCCCATGCCTTAGCCATATTTTCACTAAACGAACCACAAAAAATGCACACATCAGTAATGCAGAAAGTGATACACACTCTTACATTCCCTCATGCATGTGCAAACACTCACATGCAACCCTTTCCCACACCTGTATATTCTGAAGGTCACAGCATTAAATATAAAATATTCTCTTTGAATACGTTACTGTTGGTTTAAGAAAAATCCTAAAATAAGAGCTCAGTTTTCCAGCATGTACTGTGCTAACAGGCTTCAAGTGTCTTGCTTCATCTCAATAATTCAGGGCTCTGCTGCAGGTATCTGCTTTGGCTATCCTCTGGGCAAAGAGGGGCACTTAATTTTACCAAATTAGCTTTAAAGAGTAGGTTCAGATTTCGTACGTTCTCTGCTGGGTGGTATTTACAGGCACTAGGTCGTGCGCTCTGGGAAGCAGAGAGAGCGCATTTTATGCTCTCCCTCCCCGCCTCTCCCCCACATCTTCCCTTTTTGGCAAGGTTAGAAATCATTCCCCACAAAGTTGGCCCAAATAAAACAAGCAAGCTTTTGAGGAGTGATGAAAGAGGTAATTTTGTTTTGGGTAATAATTTGTCTCGTACCACATACCATCCTCTTTCTGATTATTGCGTTATGCTGCCTCATCTCTTTGATGAAGCATATGTGTATATATAGGGCCATGTCTGAGTGTGTTTCTTTCAGAACGCAGGGGAGAGCTCATAATTGCAGAGGCATGCAGAGCCGTCTCCTGTTCCCTTCCTCACACTCCCTTTCCAGCCACACCGCACTGCATTTGCCCCGAGCCTAGCGGCAGGCTGGCCCCTCCTGCGATGCTCCCATCCAGATCTCAGCCCAGGCCTCAGACACGTTTAAGCAGGAGGAGTTGTTGTGTTTATTAGCTGTGAACTCATGGACTACAGTGAACCACAGCAAGTCAGGCAATGTTCCCTGCTTCTGCCTGATAATAAAAAGCGAACGGTACGGCAAGCAATGTTCGGTGACAGAGAGATGGTGAGACACGGGGCAGACACGTCTGCCCGTCTCCCGGCAGCCCGTCGTCTCTGTGACGCGTTGCTGTTCCACTGCTGCTGCCCTGCATGCTCATCAGACCAGGCAAGTCATGAGCTGCCCTTGTCGTTTGCCGAGGTTGGATCTTTTCCCAAGCGAAGCACATCCTTCACTCCAATTGTCCTATGCTTGAGACAACACTTTTGATTGGAATGTTTCACAGCACAGGTAGTTATTTTAGAGAAATGATCGATATGTATCTGAAGCTATGTATTTTCTTTTTTACTTCCTTGCTTCCTCTTTTACCTCCTTCTTTACCCCCCAAGCAAATTTTCAAGAATACTCATCATTAAAAGGCATGAATTATGAAGTAAATCATTGCACTACTATTTGAACTAATGAACTAATTCAACTAATGAAGAAAACGATACCCTTAGTGCTGCTTCATTGGGGAAGATAGATAAATAGGAGAAAACTATGTCTGTGATGAAAATTAATAAAAAGGGAGAGGATGCTAATCTTTCATAGTGAGTAATCCAAACTAATTTTAAATTGTAAATATTTGTTTAATTATTGAGAGTAAGACTGGAAAGACAGTCGAGGTCCAGTTGAAAATGATTAGTGCAACTAATTTACCTCTCACCATGCAAAAAGGCCAGTCTTAACTTGCCTCTCTGTTTCCACCTTAACCAGTTAATTCAGTGAAAATCTTATTCAAATTAACCATCTGATACCACGTAGAGGAAAATAACCATTTAACTAACTTGTGTTTGATTGCTTATTGATTGTGATCATTTTTGTGTGTGTGTGAGGAAGATCAGCCCTGAGCTAACATCCGATGGCAATCCTCTTTTTGCTGAGGAAGACTGGCCCTGGGCTAACATCTTTGCTCACCTTCCTCCACTTTATATGGGACGCCTCCACAGCACGGCCTGACAAGCGGCGCGTCGGTCTGCGCCCGGGACCCGAACCCTTGAACCCCAGGCCACTGAAGTGGAGCTTGCGAACTCAACCACTACACCACCTGGCCGGCCCCGATTGTGACAATTTTTTTACAAGAAACTTTCTTTTTTAAAAATAGTGTCAGGTTATGATTTTGTTTAAGATTTTCAGCTTTCCAGAGTGTTAGAACTTTAGACGGCAAAACAGACGTCAGCAAGACAGTGTTGTGCTTGGCAGCTCTCCCACCAGATGTTGAGGGTGGAGGCCGCAGGGCTCCAGTCTCCAGTGCACCCTTGCCCTTGCATTTACTGTGCCGCGTCTTCCATAGTGGCTGCATCTGTGGTTCATTCAGTGTTTGGGAAGATATTTTATTTTTGCCACTGGGGAGAAGGAAATAAAATGTGAAAACAGGACTCTTATTTTTAGTGTATTTTGAGCCAAGAATTTGGAAATTGAGTTGTTTTCTTTCTTTCTCTCTTTCTCTTTCTCTCTCTCTTCCTCTCTCTTTCTTGCTTTCTTTCTTTCATCTCTCTCTCTTCTTTCCTTCCTGCCTTCCTTCCTTTCCTTTTTTTCCCTCCTTCCCTCCCTGTCTCCCTTCTTCCTTCCCTCCCTCCTTCCTTCTTTCTTTCCTCTCCTCCATCTCCTTTCTGTATTCCTGTCTTCCTTCTCATTTACAAGAGAGGAGCTAATATTTCCTAAACTCCTATTATATACTAGGTGATATACATCCACTAGATAGTGAGGGACATTAACTGTGTATTGAATCATGTAAAAGGTACATACAGACGATAAGAATATCACAGACTATTTCTGTATTGCTCTTTGAAGTTTCAGTTATGAAAGAGCTGTAGTAATTAAGACTAGAGGTGATGAAGCCATGTGCTAGTGTCAAAACTGGATCAATAGATGGCAAAAAAGGAATATGGGTCCTAGAATGTGATTTCTCTAGTAGTAGTTGTGTGGGGTTAAAAAATTGATTTTAGATTTTAGTTGGAGAGATAATAGCTTTGCCTTAAAATACGTTGTTAGAGGCAAAAGTAATCTAAAGACTTCAGAATTGTGGTTACATTTCCAAAAGGATATTGATTGGGAGGGGGCACAGGGGAGCCTTCTGTGTGCTGAAATGTAACTGGATTTGGGTAGTCATTTCATGGGAGCATCCATTTATGGAAAGTTCATGACCTGTATATTTGGAATATGTGCTCTTCGTTGTGCGTAAGTTACACTTTAGTAAAAAGAAAAAACAGAGAAAACCTTTTTGAAAAGTAGGTACAGTAAAGCCAAAACATATATTCTTTCCCTCAATATATAAATAGAATACATTAAATATAGCAATTTCAACAAGTAAATATAATTTTTAAAAGACTCTACAACACATTCCCATTCCAAAATAGACATCTAAAGTTAACAACGAATTTGTGTGTGTGTGTGTGTGTATTTCATGTTAAGGTACAACCTTATAATTTTAATTGAGAATAGTCCTCTCGTTGACATTAATGATGGTTTATAAATATCTTCTATGAAATGTGAGACAAATGTGAGTAATACAGACTCTTTTTATGAAAACCTGTAAGTGTGCCTATGAAACCTGATACATAGCACTCAGACACTTGCTGAGCCACCATCCCACCTGCTGAGGTAATAGGGAGCTTGTATATGTACCAACAGATGGTGGGGCTTCAAGGATCACTTGTATAGGCCATTTGGTCAACTTCTCAGAAAAATTAATATCATTTGTCACATGAACTTGAGCTAATACAATCAGAAAATTATAATTAGAAAATTAATTAATGTAACATATATATAATTTGATGTCAACCCATTATTTTTGTTTACTTCAATCATAATTACATAGTTGGAGACAATATCTTCCTTGAAAAACACAATAATATATACTTGTTATGATAATTAGTATTTTCTTCAAAACTTGGACTGTGTATTCAAACATAACTGTTTCCACTCATTTAATAAACTATCACATAAGCTGGTGGAGATGATTATACTTTATACATAGCACAACAAATGAATTGCCAGTAGCTTTTCCCTATGGACATGATCTAGCATATTTACTATATGTTGGAAAGTTCTTTATTAAAATGTAAATATTGTGTTTTTTAGTTTCAGATTTTAGTAACCAAAGTAAGACTTGTCTCAGTATTTTTGTAGTTCTGTAGCTTCTTAGCTTCACTTTCAAAGCATAAACTTAATGAGATAAGCATACTTGTTTTCAGAGTGGTTTTCTGTTCCCTGTGGGTTCTTAACAAATGCCAGTCGAGGATAGTGAAATTGATGGTAATTTTTGAATAGCCCTGTTATCTTAGTGCACACTCCGGGAAGACTGTCTCAATGTAGGTTCATTCCAGGCCTGGTGAATTCACAGTGGGCCCTCATTTTTACACAAACTGCAATACCCAATTTGAGAGTTTTAAGGTATATGAAATGTTTCCCCTAATGTTAACAGCATGTTTAGTGAGATTCCCTGGCCTTCAGTTGAGTTATATTAATATGTAAAACAAAAAAAGGTAAAGGCTTTATGTTCCAAAGGCACTGAAAGAAAAGACAAGGTAACTGGGGAGAAGGAGGCTAGTGAAGGAGAGAACGTTACAGGAAATAGAGACACAATCCAAGTCAACCTGAGCCTGTCAGTGTTTGCTCCCAAATTTTGTCTTGCCTTTCTTTTCCAATTCTTCCATTTCTGTTACCTGATTTTTAAAAAGTAATTAGCTTTTTCAAGAGAAGTATCTTTATTTTATTTATTAATTGCTAATCACATTTCTTTTGTTTTGTTTTTGTGAGGAAGATCAGCCCTGTGCTAACATCTGCCAATCCTCCTCTCTTTTTGCTGAGGAAGACTGACCCTGTGCTAACATCCGTGCCCATCTTCCTCCACTTTATATGGGATGTCGCCACAGCATGGCTTGCCAAGCGGTGTGTCAGTGCACGCCCGGGATCCAAACCGGCGAACCCGGGGCCGCAGCAGTGGAGCACGCGCACTTAACTGCTTGCGCCACTGGGCCGGCCCCCCACATTTCTTCTCATACTTTCACACCAGTGTATTTTCATTTTGGTATATTTTCATTCAGGCTTCTTCCAGCAGACCATGGGCAGTCCCCTGTGTTCTTGGGGTGTGGACCCTCAGTGCAGTGGTGCGTTTTAAGTGTAGACGAGCCTTGGCTGTGTACCAAAGTGGTGTTTTCTGTTTGACTTTCAATATCCTCCTTTTGAAAGGGCCTAGCCTTTGGGGTATTTGGGGTCACAGTAGCACATTTGGTTCATGTCTTCCTGATATTCGAGCAATGGGATGCTTAACTATGATGGGAAAGTATTTATTTTTATATTGTTCTTTTTTTTTTTCCTCAGTGTGTGCTGTATTTGTGGGCCTTGAAAATTCTTTACCCCAAAACCCTGTTTTTACTTCGTGGAAATCATGAATGTAGACATCTAACAGAATATTTCACATTTAAACAAGAATGTAAGTATACTTCAGGCTTCTTCCTTTAACATCATATGTGCTAAATAGTCATTTTAATCCATACTAAGAGCACATTACAATATGATCCACTGCTTAAGAGTCGTAAACAAAAAATGACACTATTTTATGTCATTCTATAGTTCTTTCTAAGCATGGACAGTTAAGAGAATTCTGAATTTCTTTTTAAATTATAAATTCTCTATAAAGTGATCTAAAGGTTTGAATTAGTATTTGATGGAATTTATCCTAAGAAACAAGTGGTTAAACAACCTTTTAAAGATAGCTAGAATACTACCGTTGGGGATAATGGGATAATCTACCCTTTAATCTCAAATCACTCAAGAAAAACAAATGAGGGCAAGTTCAACCTTGTGCCTCTCTTTATGGACCCAGTAGATTTACCAGCCTCTAGTGGATTTTACAAGATTAAAGATGACTTCTTCCTTTAGACGGAAATAGGAGGAGTGAGGAGCACTTCATATAAATGTCACTTTCCTCCCCCTCCCCCATTGTCCAGTGAAAGTTAAATTTCTCTCTCTCATTGAGTCCTGTATTCAAAGGAGCATCGAAACTTCTCTCAAAATATCAGCTATAAGTCAGTGAGGGAAAAGCAATGTGCAGTGATACAGAAACAACTTCAGAAAATTTGTTGCCGTCTGCTTTTCTGTATGATCATTCAGGAAAATCAGCCAGCTCTATGGCCGTCTTTCTCTTGGTGTCCTAGGTGTTTGTGTATATTTTTTTGAGATACATCTGCAGATAAATAGCAAGGATGTGTACAAAAGTTCTCTCCTCTGCTATATCAAAAGTTACTAAAAACTATAAAATATGGATGAACAACAAAAATAAAAAAGAGTAGATATAAAGATTAATGTCTAACTCTTAAAAAAGTCTTATTTAATCATATTTTGGAACTTTGCAGTGTGTAGTTATATGCTAATAATATAATTCTGGCAAGAAAACATTAAAAAAAAAAACAACCTATTTCAGTGACATGATGGTAGCTATGAAATCATGAGAGGAAATATTTGTTTTTTAATCACGTTTTGAAAGGTAAAATCAAGTATTCGGAACGCGTGTACGACGCCTGCATGGATGCCTTCGACTGCCTGCCGCTGGCTGCCCTGATGAACCAGCAGTTCCTGTGCGTCCACGGCGGTCTGTCTCCAGAGATTAACACTTTAGATGACATCAGAAAAGTAAGTCCTGTTATTTTCCAAGTCTCATCATTCTGTGTGCTTTGGTAATAAATAGAAGACATTCATTTCCCTTCCTTTATCACTAACTTTATCCTTTTGAATTAAAATTATTTAAAGTGGTCATTAATCTCTTTTTTGTACTCATTTTTCATCTAGAAAGAAAGATATATTTATACTTGAAAGAGTTTTCATCTGTAAAACTTCACCGTTCATCTTACCATGTGCCATGTGTCATTGGAAATATAAAATATCTGATCGCTAGAAAACAGATGCCTCTTCATTTCCCTTGGGCTTGTTTCAAACAATCCATTGTGTATTCATAGTATGTTATAGTTAGAAAATGTTGCTTTGCTTTTAGGAAAATATCACAATTTGACCTTTAAAATGTGTCCATATTATCATTTTTAAAAATTTACTATTTTTACAGCTTAAAACGTTAAAGTAAGAATCTAACGAAGGCAATGATGATATATTCTATTTGATTGTATTGAGTGGCTAGGTGAAAAACAGTTGATTTTTTTAAGAGATTTTTTCCACTTATTTTAATATTGGGTATTACTGTTGTTTTAGCCAACAAAAAGATAAGTTAGTTTGAATGTGGGAGTATCTTTTTCATGTGAAAATGTAATAATATGGGATATAGCTGTATGTAGTGGAAGACGCAGACTTTTTATTTCTTTGGTTAGGCTCAATGTTCTTTTAAAAGTTCATTGGTTTTTAAAGAAAAACTATATTTAGGGAAGTCAAATATTCAAATTCTGCCTTAATACTCATTAAGGTTCAAGTCTTCAAGGGTAAACGTAATATTGTATTTACTTTCCTATTGGAAAGGAAATGCATAATTTTTATTTTTAAAATCAAACAAAAGTACATTAAATAAGCCTTTGTTTTCTGCTCTGTGTGTCTGTGTCTTGTTTATAAGACACTATTACACATCTGCTTCTGGTGTTCTGTAGCACACACAGCATTGGTGTTTGCTCTGTATTTAAAATGCTATAGAGACATGACACTGAGTTGTAGTCATGGAGTTCAAGTATAGAGTGGTTTGCTTTCTGCATGAATGTAACCAGTTTTTTTTCCCTATAATCTGATGGACTCTTCAAATAAATAACTAAACTTTTCATCATAATTTAAGTAGATTTTTAAAATATTATCTGCTATCCCCAGGGCTTACTTTCGGGCATGTTTCAGATATTATGTTCAGTTTTCATATATGTCATTAAGCTCTAGACTTAGCCATAAAATGATTTTTAGGTTTGCATTTTGCCATATGTCAATTAGAGTTTCCACCACACTTAACTTTATTTAGTTAATTTTGTAGTTGTTATTCTTATATAGATGGTATTAACTTTAGAATGCACTTTGTAACTTTTCCAGAATAAGTTCTATCTTATAGTTGCCTTATCAAACCTTTAGCTGGTAATTCACATTAATCAGAAAGTCTTTCCTCCTCTGCTGCTTTAGCCTTAATAATAAGTTTTTGTTTCTCACAAAGAAATCTGTATTTTTATGGACAAGCGTTATTTTTCTTGGATGAATTGTTCCAAAAGCATAAATTATTTAAATCTCTTAATCAAGTCTAAGTTTGCAATGAATATTTTATAGGTAACATAGTGGTTGAAATATAGAGGGTCTTGTCTCATTGAAGTTTTTCATTGAGTGTTGAAAACGTGAAATATTGCTTCATTCTTTTTCAGTATTAGTAAAAAATAGTATGTGGCAAAACCATTATTTACATCACCTTTTATGTCTCAGGAAAAAGAGAGAATTAGATTGGCTGTCAGCCTTATATATTCAGCTGTCCCTATGTGGTTTTTTAAAATACTAAAGTATTCAGTAGGAAGAGTATCAATTCTTAATGGATTTTCATAGCTATTTTATGCCTTTGTTTGAGAGACTCTATATTATCTGCTAACTTCACCAAAGATCCTTTAATTGAAGTTAAATCAGGATAAACTAAGGAAAGTGACTGTTATAAAATTGTTGGTGAAATGTCATTTCCAGTTGTTATATTGCTCATACTTTCTTGATGCATCTTTTTAAATTGAAATATGACTTTGCTAAACATTTATGGCTGGAAAATGGATTTCATATGAGGGCTTCAGGTAAAACTATAAAGCTTAGAATTGTGAGCTGAAGAATGACCAGCTAAATTTGGGTTTATTTTACTGTTTACCATTACTCTTGGTTTGTACCCAGTAAGATAAACTACAATAGGCGTGTATTTTAGTTAGAAACCTGGATAGCCCCTAATGAGTGAATATCCAAAATGTCATATAGCAAGTGGCAACTCTGAAAATGAAAGCCATCTGTTCTCAAAGTCATATTGTTATATACAAACAGCATAAGTTGTTCCCCATCCAGATTTTTAATGGGGGCAGTAATAGAAATTTCCCCAAAGATAAAATAAGATAAAAGTTCCTCCTCAAGAAATGAAACACAGACAGAGTCTCACCAAAGGGTAATGACCAAAACACTTGGATAGATAAAATAAGAAGGAAAGAAAGAGAAAAAGCAAACTAGGAGAAAGGAAAAAAGGAGTGAAGAGTAGGAATTAAAGAGGCAAGAGGGAGGTATGAAAGCCGATCATAAATGAGTTCATCAGGAGGAAGAAGGAAGGATAATTGGAGAGAGAGGCAGAGTAGAAGAATGAGGAGGACAGAGGAAGGAGGGAGAGCAGACAGGAAGAGAGACAGGAATGGAGAAGAAGCAAGGAGTAAGGAGGGAGGGGAAGAGAGAGAGGAATGGGGAGGAAGGAAGGAGGAGGGAGAGGGGAACAGAGAGGAATGGGGGGAAGGAAGGAGGAGGGAGAGAGGGGAAGATCGAGGAGTGGGGAGGAAGGAAGGAGGAGGGAGAGGGGCAGAGAGGATTGAGGAGGAAGGAAGGAGGAGGGAGATGGGAAGACAGAGGAGTGGGGAGGAAGGAAGGAGGAGGGAGAGGGGCAGAGAGAGAGGAATGGAGGAAGGAAGGAGGAGGGAGGGGGGCAGAGAGAGAGGAATGGAGTGGGGGAAGGAAGGAGGAGGGAGAGAGGGCAGAGAGAGAGGAGTGAGGAGGAAGGAAGGAGGAGGGAGAGGGGGCAGAGTGAGGAATGGGGAGGAGGGAGAGAGGAAGAGAGTGGGAGAGGGCAGTTCTCTCTGGTGGGAAGAGGACGTCAGGTATTGCAAAATGCTGGTTTCTTCTATTTTCTGAATTCCAAGTTTCTGAAGATTAGTATTTTGCTCTCTGTCTTCTGTTTTTCTTAGTTAGACCGATTCAAAGAACCACCAGCTTACGGACCTATGTGTGATATCCTGTGGTCAGACCCCCTGGAGGATTTTGGCAATGAGAAGACTCAGGAACATTTCACTCACAACACAGTCAGAGGGTGTTCATACTTCTACAGGTGAGGAAGGAGCTCGCTGTCTGGAGCACAGTTGGTTCATAAATGTTGTAATTTATCAGTCCATGTGTTTGATTTATCTATGATGTTTGTATAACTTCTCTAGGAGAGAAGTATAATTGAAAGCTTCATTTTGAAAGCCTGGTTCACATGGGTTCTTAGCACTTACAAAATGAAAACATAAATACATAAGAAATCTATCTATACAAACATGTAGACATAATATCTGTGAAGAATGGAGAAGGCATGTGGTGTTAGGGTGGCAAGGCAGCTGGAGAAGATAGCTGGATTTAGTGGAAAATTTGTTGGGTTTCAAGAGCTGTAGAAAAAAATCCAATGCCAGCCTTGATTTTTCATTCAATTATGTAATGACTTAAAAGTTTTTTTTTTAATCAGTTTTCATAACTTAAATGGGAAAAACAATTATAAATTGGTTAAGTTATATTCAAGTTATTCTTAAATTTTCTTAAGTTTATCAGACTTTCTGGATAAATTAAAATTAGCAACCCAGTATGTAGGTACCATGGTAAATTTATTTTTAGCACTTTGACAAGCCACACTGAAAAAATTGTTATGGTAATTTTTATGTTTGCCAGTGTATGGAGATTTGCCCATTCCATATCATTTTAGAGCACTTCAGAAAGAAATCAGCAACACAGTTGGGTTTTTGCACGTCCTCACGATTTTCCTGACATCTCACCTTAATTGTAGTCTGTTGCGTTTGGTTACTGTCGGTCTCACTAGTTTCTCTTATCATCAGACAACGCAATTTAGTGAAAGCGGCCAGAGTGACAGGAGGAAAGAGGTTATGGAGAAGTTGAGAATTTTAAATTCTAGAACACACAGTCTTTTTTTTTTTTAACTTAAAAACCAAACCTGATGTTCACTGAACTGTGTGCTCAGTTCTAGCCCTGGCAGCTCAGAAGGCAGCCAGGCTGGGAGAACGCTGTCAACGCGTCCAGCCGTGTGTCTTCTGTCTCTGAGCCAACAGATAGCATCCTCTGCGTAACGTCGATCACTTTATTCCTCGGTGGAACATTGTATTCCAGACGTTGTTTTCCTCATGAGGGAAAAGAAGATTTCCTTTGTTCGTATGTTGATGTGATTGAGAAAATGAAGTTTGTGAGCAGAAAGTCTTGTGTACACTGTAAAGCATCATTCAAAGAATAGTTTTTGTCATGAATATTAATAAAGAGGTTTCTTTCAGGCTTATTTAGCATAAAGTTTACAATTCATTTCTGTGTTTTCCAAATTTGGGCACCAAGTCTAATGAGTCTATTTTGGCTGAAACGAAAAAGCATGATATAGTATTTCGGAAAAGCCTAAGGTTTCTTTTCAGTAATTTGTTAATTTGGGAGTAATCTTTTATTAAAGAAATTTAAACTTTTAGTGAAAAATTAAGTATTGTTGAAATATATCAAAGCCAAGTGCTCAATTTTTCAAATCTGGTGTTAAATCCCTAATTATACCGTGAGTGTTTGTTACCTATCTGATAACACTGAGTTGTGCTTCAGTAATACAATAGCACACAGAATCCAAACCCCTTGATTCTGATATTGAACCATATTGCATTAATCTTTCTTTACTTCGTAGGATCACGTTCTTCTATTAGTTTTCTGGGTCGGCTCTTCAAATAAATCATATTCTAAATAGGGTCCTGTACTGAGGTTATATACAGTTATGGTATTTTTGTTTTGTGAATATAGACACAGTTTACGTCAGAGATGATGTCCATCAACTAGATAATTAGAGGATTGATTGTGCATGTTTTCACACTTTTGTTCTGAACAAAATGATTATTTAACTCCTCTCATTAGAGGTTCTTAATAGATAATGATCTTTGGCCGTGACAAATGCTGAATATCTAAATCTGCAACCCACAGTCTGACTAATGGCAAAGCTATCTAGATTGTCTTGTATCTGAGGAAGAGAACAATGACCCTTTCATTCTGCTAGGGCTTTTTGATCCTTTTGTTGAAGGTGTCGTTCTGAAGGTGTCGAGGCCTCCTCTGTGGTCATGGTTTATAAAGCTGACCTAAGGGAGTGCAAGGGAAGGATAAATTGGTAGAGAGACTTGGTGACAATTACCTGTTTCAGTTATTGGCAGTTATTTGATCCACAACTTCGTGTTTCATTTTACGTGTTTGTATAGAGTTTGCTGTGCTAGCCTATCCACGTGTAACGTATTGTCTGGGCCATGATTTAAATAAAGACAAGTTATACAGAAAAATGCATCATAAGAATTTATTACTACTGTTCATGAGTTACAGAAGCTAGGCAATGTGACAGCGAGGAGAGAGTCCCTAAGAACTCTGCACTGTCTTTACAACCTTACACCAGAGTTTGCGTATGCATATGCCTGTAACATCTGGGTGGGTGATTGAGATACTTGAAGTAGGCCAAGTGTTAGATTGTAAAGATTAGTGAGGATCGTGACAAATTGGAGGTAAAAATTTCATTTTCGTGTAGACCAAAGAAAACTGTCGACTGGATTCAGTGCTGAGTTGTCAGTGTGTCTGTCTGCCTTCGCTGAATCATGGAAGCCTTGTGTTCTGGTTTAGCTTGCTTCAAAAGGAGTGTGTTAGGGGCCGGCCCCGTGGCTTAGCGGTTAAGTGCCAGCGCTCTGCTACTGGCGGCCCGGGTTCGGATCCCGGGCGCGCACCGACGCACCGCTTCTCTGGCCATGCTGAGGCCGCGTCCCACATACAGCAACTAGAAGGTTGTGCAGCTATGACGTGCAACTATCTACTGGGGCTTTGGGGAGAAAAAGGAGGAGGATTGGCAATAGATGTTAGCTCAGGGCTGGTCTTTCTCAGCAAAAAGAGGAGGATTGGCATGGATGTTAGCTCAGGGCTGATCTTCCTCACACACAAAAAAATAAAATAAATAATAAATAATAAATAAATAAATAAAAGGAGTGTGTTAGATCAGACATTCTAAAGTTCCTCGAAGCTGTGCGATTTGGAGACCATCTTGGCAGTCCTTTTAATAGTGTTCCTGAAGCTCCCAGTGCAGCTCACTGCAGCTGCTACTGGTCTTTCCGTCACACAGCAGCAGCCTGACTTCTGTTCACACGGGGAGCCAGCTTCCCTTCTGCAGTTGACACTCCTCTCAGCCCCTTGCCCCGTGAGACCCTCTGGCTCCTCCTTTTTCACATGGCCCAGTTCTCCTCTAACTTATCAGGCAGATGCCTGCCTCTCCTGCTGCCGCTTCCTTTGTCTTCCTCCTTTGACATGTTTTTCTTCATGATTGTCCCAGGAACCTCATCTGTTCCCTTGGCTTCACTGTAAACTAGAAACTCTATGGTTTGTTACCAGATCTATGTCTACTCTCTTCATCTCTCTGTCTTTCCTGAGTTCAAAGTCTCTATTTCTCATTGTCTGCTGGAATTTCTTATCTTAGATGTCCCATTGTCACCTTAACTTGAACTCACCTTGCCTGAAAAGCCTTATTATTTACTTCGCCGCTTGCCTAATCCCCACCGGGGGTTCCTCCTGGTTTTCTGTTTCTATTAGCAGTTCATTCTCCAAGTCATGCCAACTAGCAAATATCTTTGCTTTTTCTTCTGGCCTTAAAATCACCACCAATCAGTCATCACGTCTTATTGACTCTTTCTTTATAATATCACCAGCATCCAGACCATCCTGCCTTCCCTCCCTCCCACTCTGAGTTCAAGACCTTCATTTTTAGTCTGTTGAAATCACACCTGATTTCACAACATCCTTCCCACCCTCTCCCCACAATTCACACTGTTTCATTCATGGGCATCCTTTCGAGAATTCATTCACTCATTCAATTATTTAACGAACATTAGTTGAGCACCTACTATGTATGCCTTCTGTCAGGCTTTATAGATACTCAGAGTCCCTGCCTTCCAGGGAATGACAGTCTAGTGGCAGAGACTGATGAGCAGAAATGGGCAAATAAAATGCAAGGTGGGTAGTGCTGTGATAAATGTGGAGGTTCAGACACACACACAGAGTTGAGGGCTCTAACCCAAACAGGGATGGATTGGGGTTTAAGGGACTGCTCACAATAGAAGTGTTATTAGACCTGACTTTTAGCGGGTGACTAGAGCATATCCAACCAGAGTCATTGGGGAAGGCTCTTGTAGGCAGGGAACATGGTGTTCATGAAAATATGAGGGGACATAACACTCTGGGAATTCTAGAAAGATGGTCTCACTTTACCTCTAATCCCAAATTACAGTTAGATGCTTCAGTGTACACTAAAGCTGAGCACACATATAACTAAGCTATTCTACTCCTGTTCTTTATATCCACTAGAAATGTGTACATAGTGTACCAAAAGACATATGCAAGATTGTTCATAGCAGCAGTATTCATATTAGCCAAGAAATGGAAACAACCCAAATGTCCATTTGGTGAAACGAATAATAAATTGTAGTACATTTATTCAACTAAATACAGCAAATGAGAAAGAGTTAACCAAAACTGTACATAGCAACATGGATGAATGTCACAAGTGTAATGAGAGCAGAAGAAGCCAGATACTGAAGAGTGCATGCTGGATGATTCCATTGAAATAAGAGTTCAACATTAGAGAAGGCTGATCTCTAATGTTAAAGCCAGGATAGTGGTTGCCCTTAGTAGGGGGCAATGGTGACTAAAAGGAGATATGGAGAGTTGCTGGGCTTCAGGTAATGTGCTGTGTCTTGATCTGAGTGCTGGTTACAAGGGTGTTCACTTTGTGAAAGGTCATCAATTTGTAATCTTCTGATTTGTGCAGTTTTCTGTATACATGTTGTACTTCAATAAAAAGTTTGCCTTAAAAATTGCTCACTGCTCCTGAGGCAGCCGGCAGCCAGGTGCAAGTGAGGACTTCAGCTCTGGTGAGGTTCTGGCAGGAACAGTTGGAGCCCTTCCAGACTTGATCACGGGTAAAATGAGATAAGTTGGAGAACCCTAGGGGAAAGAAAAAAACACAGCAAGTCTTAGGAAAAGATAGGCCTGACAGCATCTGAGCAACGCCAGACACCCCAG